AGGGAGAATTTCGGGGGCGAAAGGTTTGATAGGCGCCGTTTCTTGCTTGATTCGCGCGGCGCAGAGGTCATGGAAGTCGGCTCCCTGTGCTCTGTCGGGTTGGAATTGTGCGATTGTTGTAATTGTTGGTAAACAAGCAATTCTTCCATTTGTCTCCGAAGTTCCTTGAGGGTCTGAGAGGTTCGACCATCCTCGTGAGAGGCCTTCTCCTGATTGGCATGAGCTTTTATAGCGGACGATAATATACTGTCTGCGTCTGCTTTTGCAGTCTCTTCATGCGACCCCCGCGGCGAGCGAGTGTGGGATTTGTGCGCGAAGCCATCTATCGCCGTGATTCCTTCCCCAGCATAGCCATCTTCGCCATGAACAAGACTCGAAACCGAATAAGAGGGTCCGGGATGGGGTGCGGTAACAGGCGAAGGAGCCTCGGCCGGTGATGGAAGCGGAGATGCCCTCATGCTTTGGACTTCCCCCATGCTAAAACCCCCTCCACCGCCGGACAGATACTCAATTGTCCTGGGCAAATCCGACTCTACAGGAAGAAAATGTGGCACTCATCTCTCGGACGGACAGGTCCGCGCTCGCAGGATATAGGAAACGGTTGGCAGCTCGTAGTGCTGTTGCAAACGGGAAGGCAAAGCGCGCGAACGGAAGAGTGAAGTAGGGTCTTCGGATGAAAGAATTATATCGCGATAGGATAAATTCGGACAGGCCTGCTGTACCTGTAGGTGAGCTAAATAAAAACGAAAGAAAGAAAGAAAGAAAGAAAATAAATGGATAAAGGTCAAGTATAACTCGAGGACGTAAGAAGGAATGGACGATGGGAGGAAAAGTGGGCGGAAAAAAGAAGGGTAGGAAAGGCAAGTGCTCAGAGGTGGGTTAAAGCGGTGTACAGTGTATAATCAGTATAGGTAGGAGTAGTGGTGGTGGTGAGGGTGATCCTCCAGTTTGCAGGAGGCAGGGAGAAAGTTATGATCAGAGTTAGAACAAGCAAAGTGGATAGGCAAGAGTACACTAAGCACGGCGACAAAGGAAAATAAAAAATAATCATGATCACAAGAGATTCAAATGTAGGTACTGACCTGTAGAAGTGTAGGACAGCACGGTAGAGCACACTGAAGGCACTTGGCAGAGCTAGCAAAATTCTGTCTCGTTATTATGATTATTATTAATATTATTTCTGACCCATAGTACTGTTACCACTGTATGGACAGTAGATAATATCAAAGAACCATAAAGGTAGTAGTAGTAATGTAGACGGTAGAGAGATCGTCGATTTGAGGTAAGGCTGGATGGAATTGGTCCGTCTCCGGGGGGGTGAGGAAGGACCCGAGCCTATGACGTATGCGTGCCCTTGGAGGACTAAACCAGTGACCAGGCCGCGGGAACGTGAAAAGTTTCCTTGACCCAGAAGGGAAGAATGGAATGACACTGGTGAGTGTCCAGGTATTAAATTTTGATAAAAGACAAGAACAATAGTTTAAGTGAGAGCTAAAAAGAGTTTGCAGAATTTGACAACAAGTAATGAAGCTGTAAGGTGGGAGAGAAGTACCCAGTCCAGATAGGAGGAGGAAGGGAACGGGAGGGAGAGGAGAGGAAGAGTAACAAAGAGGGTGGAGCAAAGGCCGGTGAACACACAATAATGACAGCCGGAAGGGAAGTAGGATTGTCCGCTGAGCTTGGTGGGTGGTTGTGATGATGATGGTGATGATGCTAGTGCTATTGCTGAGGATGTAACTGGGGCTGGTTCTGGTTCTGGTACCTAGAGGGTAAGTAACCAGTAACTGGTAGGACAGGGCTTGGGTGGAGGTGGATACGGAGTTAGGATGCTGATGGGGCTACGGAGTCCTACCTAGAGTACTATGAACTACTCCATACCTTGGATGACTATGTAGCAGATAGCTACTTGTTTGCTACTTTTTAGTGTAAGTTAGTGACAGATGAAACAAGGGCAAGGAAAATGCAATGGGTATGAAAACATCTAGGGTAAGTACTATTTATCTACAGTATGGATGATTTGTTTCTTCTCTGAAAGTGTACCTACTCACCAATGTACCGGTCTGTAGAAGGGTGGTTGGTATGGAGTACCATCAAGACTGCACCTAGAGTGGCCAGAACCATTTCGTCACAGGGATTTTGGATCCATAAAAAGATGATCACTCATCAGTAGTAGCATATGCCATCTGAACTACTTAACAAAAAGGATGAGGATAAAAACGCATCTGCCACCTTACAAAGTAAACATCTTAAATAAACATTTCTCTCTTGTCATTGGCATTCTCCTATGTCGCATCTAGAAACGACCCTGTTCCTAAAAATCCCAGACTCGGAGGGCCGGGTTTGAGGATGAGGTAATAAGGTATTAAGGTAGTCTACGGGGTGCGTCATACAATGGGCCAGTTCCTGGTTCCATGGATGTCTTCTTAGAGCGCCGATCGGTGGTGACTTGCCATAAATGCTATCTACGTGGTAGGTTTGACTTCATAATGTTATTCGAATGGAGAGTGTGGCGCGCCCTTAAAGAGACCATGTTCCAAAGTAAGGTGAGATGGTACCCGTCTGTCTAATTCTTCCTAACCCTGCGATGTTGACACTATGCGACCCCTGACTAGATAGCCATGAATCAGCTAGTTCTGTGCGCTAGTGTTGCCTTGGTCATACCTACCCGGCTTCAACCCTGCAAGTTGGATTATCTATGGCGAATGGCGAAGTGGAGCACTAGACAGAACCGGATCCAGCAAGTGACAATACTGCCTTGTTATCCACTTGCCCACTTAAGTAGAAACTCCAAGAAGCCGGATGGCTCCAAAATTGATCAACATCCCCCTGATGCCAAAGATGTCAGTAGCCTGTATATAGAGAGGGTATTCTTGTCCACTCAGTAATAGTATGCATCGTGCGCGCTACGGCTTCAGGTTATCGGCTACCAATGACGCATGGATATGGATATATGGATATTCAAGACACGAAAGTCAACTCTCCACTGGGTAGCTTGCCTCACCGATTACCATTATTATTAAAAGCCTTTACCTTAGGTAAAGACGCTGTCGCGTGGTCAGGCGGTGGCAGGTTTGCCACCTCTAACTTCAACTTAAACTGTTTGGTTGGAACTGGAACAAACCCCTGCCTCATTACTATTTGAAAGGTATCATTATTGGGACATGATGTTTGAAGATGTAATTTTTTTCTCCTCCACGGTTTCATCCAAAGCTGGTGAGGCTGCTTAAAGGCTAAGTGTGTATCATAGTCAGCCTTGCTCTTACCTCTGTCGTCATTTGGCATTAGTGCTGTATGTGCCGCGTTACGGAGCAATATGTCTGGACTGACCTCGTGCTGCTGGACTTAAGTTGTGAGATCTCCGACCAAATATTTGCATATCCCTGAATGGACAGATCCAGCATGGCCGGTACCATACATTGCGTATCTGCTTCGCTTAATTTCAGTCGCTGTCGTTATGCTCAACGCTTTGATACGCAAACTCTCCACTTCCTTTTTTAAGGCCTTCTCCTTTGGCACTCGGTGCCTGGCAGGAAATAAGATAAGATGGCTTGGATCGGCAATACACCGTCATCGTGGACCCGCGACTAGAGCATGCTTACGGCAATAGTCATGGTTGCGAGGACTAGTAAGACTGGATGGGCAACCAGGCACAGTCGTCACCATGCATAATAGTTCATGCACATGCGCCTTTCCAAATTTCTGCAAATCTTCTACATGTATTAAATGAAGGTGACTGGATTTATGAGAATCATTATGGCCGACTTCTGCATAGTGGTCGAGACTCAAATAAATTTGTTCACGATTTCCCATCTCAGACATTTCTTTGTTCGAAGTCACTGTTTCATCTTTGTTTATTGAAGGGAGCGCTACTTCGCTCATGTTCGAGGTTCGACGTCATTTGCCAGAGGGATTGGTGTACTATGCTACTGCTGCTCCAAGACCATAAAGTCCAAAACAAAAAGGGGAAAAAGCTGGATGAGGCTGACCCGTCTCGATCGGATAACCTTGAGATCTGGAGTCTCTATGGAAATTTGTTAGACAAATTGATCGAGCTGAGGAAGACTGTTGATGGAACGTACCACGCGCTACCAATTGCGCCACAGCCCCAATAGGTGAATTTTCGGGCCGTTTTACTGAAGGAATCACCAACTTCAAGCAACTAATAAAGAAAGCCTAGTTTGACCCACATAGCTGTAGCAGTAGTAGTAGTAATGCCAGGAAACGGATACCTGACATGGGCACGTTCCAGCTATCTAGTCTACGGCGCAATCGAAAGAAAGCTCCAAGGACAGTGAATAATGCCTATTGTCTTCGGAGTCTTCAATCTTGACCATATGGTTCTTCTATCGAAATGTCCCAGAGTTTCCCTATATTCCCGTCATCATGACATGTCTAAGACTACACTGAGTGGCTGTTGACTGACGGTAGTCTAGTCACATGTCCGGATGATGTACCTAAGCATCATTCAAAATGCGATCTATCTGGTTTTTTAGTGTTAAATGTTGATTGAGATACTCTGTTCCTTGATCCTCTGGAGAGGTAGGAGTCATGCACTGAGCATGAGCCCGAGTCTCGTGATGCCCCACTACAGCTGACTAAAGAGCTGCTGATTCGGGAAATTGTTAGCCTCAGGCTGTCAGACCCCAACCAAAGTTTCACCTGATAATCAAATGTTAGATTCATGACCCTCGTCTTGAACGCTCATATGGTTCCAGGGGAACGATAATAGCGGCATCGTGACGTCTGTTTCGACGCATATCCATCACCTAGCCTACACCGCTGATCGTCGAAGCGAAGCGCACGATTGATATCGATGATCCTGCCCGACGTTCGTTAGCCTCGATCAAGTCGACAAAGCCGTTTCCGTCCCTATGCCTCCTCTTCAAACGCAGCGTCTTCTCTGAGCCGACATCAACATCCGCCGTCCGGGACGAATACGGCCTTTGTCTGATAAAAGAAGAAGTTTCACACAAAAAGATATTCTTGGATAGGTGGCTGAGATGGAGGAGGATAACCACATTCTCGGGGAAGACCTACCGCTCCCACCAGCACGACTGTTCGAGAGGCTTGCGCAGCTGCCCGGTTATGTCTGGGATCAGTCCGTTGAGCCATTCCATTCAACTTACAACCATTGGCATGTCCTCGGCCTTCGTCATTGTGCAGAATCCGACGTCTCAACCCCCGCCGCGACCTCCTCAGGTCCGTCTAGCCTAGCCCGTAACTCCCCGCGCGCCGAGTCCCGTCCGTTTTTCCGCCATCACTGGAGGAGTAGCCTGAGCGAATCGAGTAGCGAACTGTCATTGTCTCGCGCAGATCATGAATCAGTATGGGTGCCAGTAGTGGCTCGAGTTTCCTCTCATGTAGTGAGACTCGAGCGGGAGTTTCACATGTTGAGATCCATCGTGCAGACGTCGGATCCAGACTGCAATCACACTATTCGACCGATTGATCTTATCCGGCTGCCACCAGATCCAGGCGATATAGGACCGCTGTTGGTTGCCATATTCGAATCGCCAGGCCCGAACTTCTTGCGTGAGCTGGTCGCATTTGGACCTGCGTGGTTTGCGGCTGGCGTCAAGAGCGATAACGTACCGACTCCGGACGAGCAGGTCTCTCTTCCGGTATTTCTCGATTTTGCCATCGGCGCATGTGATTGCCTGGAGCTACTGCACTATGGCCTCAAGACGGTGCATGGTGAAATCAGAGGTGATGCTTTTCACTTCAACCGGGAGACAGGGTCAGTAAAGCTTCTTAGCACGGGGAACGGCGCAAGATCCTTTGAAAATATACTCAGCGACGGCTGGTCCTCGCTCTCTCGAGAACTCGGCGTCAAAAACAAGCTGCAATTCGTTGCACCCGAGCAGACAGGGAGGATGCCTACTGAACCGGACAGTCGCACAGACATATATGCGCTTGGTGTGCTATTCTGGACTATGTTGATAGGAAAACCGGCCTTCACGGGAGCTGATCCGGTCGAGGTTGTGCAGAACGTCTTCGGAAAGAAACTACCACCCGTCTCAACAAAGAGAATGGATATTCCTGACGCAATTTCGGCTGTTATCCAGAAAATGACCCAGAAGGCCGTCAATGAGCGCTACCATACCATTTCATCGGTGAAGAGGGATCTAACACAGATTTCCCAGCTTCTTGGCGACGGCGATAGCGAAGCGCTGAAAGACTTCCAGATTGCTCAGCGCGACGTGTCCTCTTTCTTCACGCTTCCGACCGGGATGTTTGGCCGACGGGAGGAATATGACAAAGTAATTGGTGTGGTGGGGAGAGTTTACAGAAGGCAACAGTCTGCGCAAGCCCGGGCGGCTGCTCATGGCTCCAGTGGAGTGGGGTCCAACTCTTCGGTGTCGGACGGCCGTGTTGACAGCTTCGAGATTGCGTCGGGCTCAAGCGACTCTGGCTCATTTCACTTGGCGCCGAGGACCAACTCAAACGGCACCCAATACAATATTGGGCGTGTCTCAACACATGAATCTTTGCATAGCACAGAATCGTCCCTTTCAACCACTAAGCCCGGATATACCTCCAACAAGGCCAAAAGTCCTGCCGAACCTCGTGCTTCCGTGGATAGCACAGAGCGTGACAGTCACTCCCCGTCGGTTGCGAACGCACAGACCTATACGGATCCCCTTGTCCCAGGCGCCAGACAGAAGGCCGCAAACAAGCTTCGAAAGAACGGGAATTGTGAGGTAATCACGATCAGTGGTCCTGCTGGCATTGGAAAGACAGACCTTATGAATCGCGTCCAGCCGGCAATACGTAAGCTTGGCTACATCGGAATCGCTCGCCTGGACCGAGCCAGACGAATCCCTTTCGAGCCTTTTGCCAAAATTCTGGCGTCTCTCCTACGTCAGATTTTCTCTGAGCGTGATGTGACAACGGATTACCACAATAGCGTTCGCATGGCCTTAAGACCAATGTGGGCCACTCTCCACAGGGTCTTGGAGCTTCCAGAACAGCTGATGTCCGCGGGAGGCAAGGAACTGGAAATCTCACCGAAGCTCTCAGTAGCTCAGCACATTTTCAGGGATGTCTCTATCAGAGGCTCCGAGCCCTCGAAGCGCCTCGCCATGCCTCGTCTTGATCATGGGCAAAGCTCCGTGGAGTTCTTCCTGTCGAACGCCGCGTCAAAAAACATGCGGTTGATGGAGACGTTCCTAGAGATTCTCAGGACTCTATCTCAGTTCAAAATGATATGTGTTTGTGTGGATGATTTGCACTACGCAGACGACGAGACCCTCGAGTTGATTCTGAATATACTCCGGGCCAAGATTCCTTGTGTGCTGATCGTCACAAGTCGGAAGGCTGAGCTGGAATCCGAGGCTATCAAATCACTCTTCGAGTCCGAGAACCCCAATGTGACCAGAATAGAGCTCAGCTCTCTGGGGGAGAATGAGATCATGCAATATGTAGCGGCTACGATGCACCAGGATCCAAATCCGGGGTTGACTCCCCTTGCTGCCGTCATCCAGGAAAAGAGTTTAGGCAATCCTTTCTACGTCAGATTGATGCTTGAGACCTGCTACAGCAAAAATTGTATCTGGTATTCCTGGAAGAACTCAAGGTGGGAGTTTGACCTGGATCGAATCTTCACTGAGTTTGTCGCTCCAAGGTACGGCGAGGGTCTTGGCCTTGGATTCATCGCAAAACGCCTCCAGGAAATCCCAGTAGCTGCCCGGTCCATCATGGTATGGGGAGCTCTGCTGGGGAGTCCCTTTCCGTTTTCTCTTGTTCAGAAACTGCTTACCAGCGAGTTCCTGTATTCCAGCGAGGATGATGAGACTGTCGACTTGACATGCCCACAAAGTGCCAGTATGATCCGACAGTCTGAGGCTGATATAGTAGTTGGACTTCAGTATCTTGTCCAAGCGAACTTGATTGTCCCAGGAAAGACCGACGACGAGTTTAGGTGGGCTCTTTCCATTCTATCGTCTATTTGCTCTTCTTTCTTCCATACTTCAAACTGTTCTTCCGCGAGCCCACCGATAGTTGCTAACATTGACCAGATTTGCCAATGATCGACTTGCACAAGCGGCGACTTCGTTGACCGAGGGTCGCAACGTCGACAAAATGCATTTCATTATATCGCAGGCGATGATGAAATACTACCACGATAGTCGCAGTCGCTATGCGATCGCTCGGCACATTGGCCTTGCTTCCCGGATCGTCAGGTCTCGCGTCGTTCAAAGAGTCGACTACAGAAAGATCTTATGGGATGCCGCACAGACTGCTTCTCAATCCGGTGCTAGGCCAACCGCGCTATGGTACTTCCGCCACTGTATTGCTTTGCTTCAGGATAACCCCTGGGACGAGAACAATACCGATGTCTACTACGATGAGACGTTGCGCCTACATATCGCGACGGCTGAGATGCTCTGGTCTCAGGGCCATCATACTGAGGCTCTGCGACTTCTCGACGAGGTTTTTGCCCATGGCAAGAGTGCCGTCTGCAAAGCAAGGGCTTGGATTGTGAAAGCCAAGATATATGCTCAGATGGGCAATCATTACAAGTCTATGAACTCGCTTCTGACATGCCTGGAGGAACTGGGCGTCCACCTTCGGGAGCCTACTACTTACGAAGCTTGCGATGCTGCGTACGGCAATCTGAAGGCATACCTTGAGAACGCCGATCTGGAAGTCATTGTTCGCAGACCCAAGAGTAAGGATATTAACATGATCACCATCGGGGCCGTCATGGCGGAGGCAATGGCTGTGACCTATTGGGATGATGCGTTGACATTCTACCGGATGGCTATCGAGATGATGAACCTCCATCTTTTCAAGGGCGGGTTCGTGCAAATTTCGATTGGCTGTTCCCATCTCTCGATGATATCCTTCAGTCGCTTTAGAGACCTCGAGTTTGCCGCCAAACTCAATGAGTGTGCATTGACCCTCTTGGACTGTTGTCCGGAGCCATGGACTCAGCGTAGGGGCACAATCGTCCACAATCTCTACATCAGCCACTTGCGAGTCCCAATGCCGTCCACACTTCCAGTGCTCGAGACGTCTGTTGAAGTTTCCTTCACGATGGGCGACCCTTACATCACACTGATCAGTCTGTCATCGATGGCGATGACCAGACTGTGGCTGGGACACGATATGGCTCAAGTTGAACAGTTCTGCACCGAAAGTCCTGACGATATTCCGGATTGGTCCAAGGACACGCGGGGTGGCGCCAGTCTTTTAGCTGTCCGGTAAGTCTTTGTGCATGTGGCTGGTTTGAGTGCAACACTGGGCTGACCAGATAACTACAGACAAGCCTCTCGCGCTCTTCAGGGAAAGACATTCTATCGTAATCCCAACACTATCATGGATGACGAGCACCATAGTACCGACGAATACATTGCCTTCTTAAACACGAATGCCAGTAACGCTGATCGTCCTCGGGACATCTATTGGGGGTTAGCTATGATACCCCTTTTCCTATACGGACATCACACCAAGGTGATAGAGACGGGAATGTCGATGATGGACACGATTCCTAGGCTCTGGTCTGCTCGCGTTGGATATGTGGTCTACTTTTACTTAGCTCTATCTCTACTGACACTCCACAACGATTTCCCTGCGGGTGGATATATGGACGGTGACAACCTGAAGACGGTGTTGAAGTATAAGGCGGAGGTTGATTTTGCGCGAAGCGCCTGCGATGCCAATTACGGCATGTGGTCATTGATTCTTGAAGCCTTGATCTCCGAAGTCCGAAATGACCATACGTCCGCCATTCAAGCTTTCGAGGTGAGTTTACAGAGCAATGACTGATGAGGAAGATGAGGGCAAAGCTGACTTGGAAATCAGGCTGCAATTGATCACTGCCAAATTCACGGCTGGCCGATGGAGGAGGCCTTGGCTCTTGAACTACATGGTGAGTGCACGTATTGCTGGTTGTTTTGGGTTCCTTTTCTGTTTGCCTCTGTTACTGTCTCCAATGGATTCGGACTCAATTCTTTCTGCAGGTGAATTTCTAATCAGGCGCGGCGCCAAAAGAGCAGCGCGTTCTGTGATGCAGGACGCGATAGCTGCGTGGGCTGGGATTAGTGCTGTTGGGAAAGCATCACAACTCACAGAGAAACACGAGTGGCTTTTGAAAACAGCAACATCCTCCAGATGTGCTGACGTCGGTGTTCAGACTGTTGACTCGCTTCTTGGTATCGAGCGGAACACAGCCCAAGAAGACATGACCATCTCTCAAGACGTGGAGAGGGACGATAGAAAACATCGTTGGATTGAGCAGAATGGAGTCACTGCGGGGGAGCGTTCGCTCGATATCTCTAGTGTTGGGCTGGGTAAGACCACCGGGCTACTTCAGCCAGAAGCTTTTATGTTACTAATGTCTCGCTAGATATCATCGATTTGTCTAGCATCCTCGAGTCGAGCCAAGTGATGTCCTCTGAACTTCAGATTGATAAACTCCTCACCAAGATGATTGAGATCGTGTTGGAATCTTGCAATGGATCCGATTTTGCCGTGATCGCAACAGACTTTGACGATAATGGCTTCGCAGTCGCCGCAACTGGTGACCTGGAGAAGGGACAGAGGTCCTTCGTCGATGGTCTTCCCCTGTCGGAGTTCGACGATAAAATGGCACAGCAGATATGTCACTACGTGATTCGCACGAAAGAAGAGGTTCTTGTCCACAATTTCCTCGAGGACGATCGGTTTTCCAACGCCAGCGAGGCCTATCAGAACAAACATCCCATGGGAAGGTCTGTCATTGCACTGCCTATTATGCAGGCAGACCACCTCCTGGGCGTCATTCATATTGAAGGCAAGCCGAACTCTTTCACTCAACGCAATGTTGTAGTGCTTCATCTGCTCTGCAACCAGATTGGCATCTCTTTGGCCAATGCGCTGCTCTTCCGTGAAGTCCGCAGGGTTAGCGCCACCAACGCAGCTATGATTGAAGCACAGAAGCGTGCCCTCGCGCAGGCTCGTGAGGCGGAGCATAAAGCCAAGGTGGCAGAAGCAGAAGCCAAGCACAACGTGAAACTGAAGGAGGATGCCGCTAGAGCCAAGTCCATCTTCCTAGCCAACATCTCCCATGATCTCAGGACGCCAATGAACGGTGTCATTGGTTTGTCGGAGCTCCTCAAGGGAACAAATTTGAACAAGGAACAGGATGAATACGTCGAGTCTATACGGGTCTGTGCTGATACACTCCTTACGCTCATCAACGACATTTTAGACTTCTCGAAGTTGGAGGCAGGGAAAATGAAGATATCGACCGTTCCTCTCAACGTCAAAGAGACCATTTCTGAAGTCGTGCGCGCTTTGCGCTACACGCACCGGGACCGCGGCCTCGTGACTATCGAAGACCTGGACAAAGTTCCACCAGATCTCGTGGTTCTGGGGGATCCTGTCCGTTTACACCAAATCTTCATGAATCTCTTGAGCAACAGCTATAAGTTCACACCAAAGGGATCCATTACCGTCCGAGCCAAGGTCTCACGGGAGGGCAAGAATCGTGTGCGCCTAGAGTGTGCAGTGTCTGATACTGGAATTGGTATTCCTGAGGAGCAAAAGTCGCGTCTTTTCAAGCCTTTTTCGCAGGCCGACAGTTCCACGGCAAGGTCGTACGGTGGTAGTGGACTGGGACTTAGCATATGCAAGGCCATTATCGAGGATGTCCTCGGCGGAGCGATCTGGCTGGATTCGACTCCTGGTGTTGGCACCACAGTGACCTTCCACCTGTCATTCAACAAAGCCAAGGATTCTGTGACAAAAGCGCCGTGGTCAAACGGCTCTGCCGCTGGGGAGAACCAGGTGGCACGCCGACCGATGGCGCGTGATTTAACCATGATCCCTCGCGATCAGATCCGTGTTTGTATTGCTGAAGATAATCCCATCAACCAAAAGATTGCCGTGAAATTTGTTACCGGCCTTAACTTGCAATGCGAAGCGTACAGCGATGGGCGCCAGGCAGTTGAAGCTCTGCGGGCACGCTCTCAGGAGGGCAATCCGTTCCACGTGGTGCTGATGGACGTGCAGATGCCTACTCTGGATGGCTACAATGCGACTCGCGAGATCCGCAAGGACCCAGATCCCAACGTGAACGAGGTTCTCGTGATCGCCATGACTGCCAGTGCCATCGAAGGGGATCGCGAGAAGTGCCTTGAGGCCGGAATGAACAATTACTTACCGAAGCCGGTCCGCTCTACGGTTCTTAGTGAGATGCTTGACAACTATCTTGCGCCTGCGCCAACGTACACCAAGACTCGCCTGGCAATGCGTGCGAGAGGGAGCATCAGCTCCGAAGTCGGCACTCCAAGTAGTACGTCGTCATCCGGTTCGGAGCTGGTGATTGCACTGACCCCCGAGGACGAGAAGATCCCCGGCAGGTCCAGTGGGGCGTGACCTAGCGCAGAATCTCATTCAGGTTCCATCGTACCAGTTTCTTTCCAGTGAATCTTGGTATGTCTGGGTGAAATGCCTCTTTTTCGGTTCCCAGTATGACTATCATCTGCAATGTGCTTGACCGTGTTTCATGGGGGTTTTGATTCGTTAGACTAGCGTTTGCCTACCTGTACATGAAGAGCACCATGGCTGCATTTCCTACTTTTTACCCTTATTTTCCTTTACGTCTATCCCATGTGATGATCACGAACGCTACGACTCACGATATTTGCGTTATGGGTTGAAATTGCCTGCCACGCGGGCGATTATCAGAGTTATCTGGCCACCCATCTTGCTTGAATTCTTCCGCCTTCCTCTTCGATGCAGTGTTTTGTGATGCTATAGCTCCTATGTCGGAAAAGAGTCCTGTCACCCGAGTCTGAGCCATTCTCAATTGCTGCATCATCACCCTTTTCTTCAGTTTCGTGTTCGGGGTGCTCTTATTTCTTCGCGTTGGCGCTCAATATTCCCCGAGGTTTGAATTACAATTCTGAGAACGGATACACGGCTGTCAATAGGTGTTATTGTTTTTAAGTCTTCAGTTCCCATTCCGGCAGGGTTGTTTCAATTTCCGGTTTCTCATCCATGCTTTTGTACCAGGATATAATAGACGTAAGGAAGTATTACTCCTATTGGAAAGCTTGCCTGCGAAAACTTTTTTTTGTTCAAGACTATGTACAACGAAGGCACGATATTTAGACAAAACTGTGGGCGTTTCCCACCCCACAAAGCAGGATTGCTCAGCATGGAGTCGATGCGATTACAGCTTAGGCGCGGTTGGCTCTACGGCCGAAGATACGCAGACGCTTGACACCACCGTCAGGGATCAGGGTCAACTTGACGTGTGTAAAGGTGTGGGTGTCCTCTCCACCAGCAGCGAGTTCAGCACCTTCGTACACATGCTCGGAATCGGCCTTGCAGAACTTGTCGCCGCTGAGCAGAGGGATCCAGCCTGGATGATCATGCGCAGGCACCTCGCCGGCCGCCACGCTGCCCTCGAGCAGACCGTGCACCCGCACGGCGCGCGGGAAGTTACCACGGAAATCCTTGGTGTCGACGACGACCTTGGCGACCGAGCCGGGGAGACCCAGCTGGAAGATGGCCCAGTCGGTGTAGCCTGGGATGCGCGACCGCGCGGTCTCCCAGCCATCGCCCATGTCCTTGCCCCGGCCGGGAAGTATCAGGTTGGAGATGGGCGTGTAGTGCTGGTTGGATGCTGACAGGGCCAAGCCGCCCAGCAGCGCGGAGGAGAGTTCCTCGATGGGGGCTGCTGCGGAGTTGGCGGACGCGGGGGCCGGGGGAGGGATCGCGTGGCCGTAGAGACGGAGACGGGCGAATCCGCCGTCGGGGTACATCAGCAGTCGGACGTGGGTGTAGGGCTTGGGGTTGGAGGGTTCGTAGTCGTTGAGTTTCCAGGCGCGACGCTGCGACGGTCCGCAGGGCTGAGGGGGTAGAATGGTGGTCCAGCCGTTGAAGCTGGGGTCAGCGATCTGCTCGTCCGTGATGCCGCTGTCGGCGGGCGCATAGGTCCCCTGCAGCTCGGCCTTCTCGCCATAGTTGCCATGGAAGAAACCTGTGTCCACTTCGACGCCCTGGATGGCTCCGCTAGCGACACCCAGCTTAATCACGACCCAGTCGTAGGGTTCAGGATTGTGCCGGCGAGTCTCCCAGCCATCGTACCAGGCGCCGGTGTGGACAAAGACACCGGGACGGTTGATGGGAGGAGTCGGGTTGAGCAGATTCGAGGCTGCGGCGAAGAACTCGTCGGAGCAGGCGAGTATTTTGGTATTGAGACCCGACGAGGCCAGGTTCGTGGTGTGCGCGAAGACCTTGTCGATCTCCTCCGCGGGGATATAGGTGACCTTATCGGAGGACGTCATTGTGCTGGCTGGTGGTGGGATAGCTGGGTTGAGGTCCTCGGTGGTGTTGCTGGATTGAAGTAGAGGAATTGAGTGCGCAATTGAACTCTGCAATTCACTTGTTCTTGTAACTCCAGTCTAGTCTGATCATCCTCCTCTTATCGCAACTGGAGACGCCCTTTAAATAAGTGTGGCAGAGGATGAGGGGGAAAAAGAAGTTGCCCGATAACTAGCGATAAGCCCCGCAGGCCACCTATACACCTGTGTTTGCCTCAGGTAATCATTACTCGATCCCATCGAGTGATCTTCTTCTTCTTCTCGTTCTTCCTTCTTCTGTCTCGTCTAGTCTCATCTCCTCAGACACCCAAAACATCTCGCTTGAGTCCGCCCCGTCCTATTCCATCCGCTTAGCCACCTGAAGGCGCCATTTCCCGTTATCAAATCGCAATCACCTGCGCTTTTTGTCGCTATTCCCAACGTTCCCGCTCATCTCCAATCCAGTTATACTGGTTCGTGCCCCACTGCCCCGGAATTGTACCCTTCGGAGGTCTCCGATCATCGCAGCATTCCGCAGGAACTGGGTCGTCACTTCACGGATTGCATAACTGGTTTGGTGGTTAACAGGGAAGATACGAGACGCCATGAGTCACCATTTTGCTGTCATTTCGAAGAATCCCGGAGCATGGTGACAGCGCTCAAAAATCCAAGACTTTTGCTGTACCGTCGGGAAAAATGCCACAGATGATGCCCGAGTTTCACAGAGAGCGTTGAGGAGCTTGTGCTTCCGCCGGTGACACTTTCAAATAGCTTGAGTTGAGGCTCCCTCGCTCACAGAGGTGACTTGAGCGTGCAACTGCGCTGTGCATGTTACTGTTGCAGAAGTGGGAGCTGCTACAATGGCACATGTACGACGTCTACGCATGGGCTTGGGTAATTTGCTATAGAGCTACGGGCGACTATGTTCCTTTGCCACCGATCTTTCGAGCCTTCACAGCTGCCCGACTCTTCCGAGCGGTTGAAAACAAGTGGAAGAGATCATTGCCAATGAAGTGTCATATTATCTTTCAAAGCTGCACAGGTAGGGCGCCCAAACGAGCTATGCGCAATGCTCCAATTCTAGAATGAACGCCGGTAATGCACGGTCACACTCCCATAACTCCCTGTGATAATGCTTGATGCATGCCATTTTGACCAGCAGGGACCTCGGCTTCCATGTCACCTCTCCGTGACATCTCAACCTCCTGTCGTCTTGGTCGCCAGTTCCTCGAGTCGCTTGTATCGCCATTCATATTGTGCCAACTGCTTCTTCTCCGCCGGCGACAGACATTTTCCTTTGTCCGCCATCTCCTTCTCCACCTGTTTAAGCATCTCCCAGCGCTTGAGAATCCGGGCCTGATGCTCAGATATAGATGCCAGGTTGGTGTCTTTCGAAGCCATGCGCTCCTCAATGGTGGAGTGGTAGGACAATTTGGCGTGGAACAGTGCCATATCCGACTCGTCGTACGTGAGGCCTCGTGCTTCGGGCAGAGAGTTGGAATGACAGCCTTTGGACGGCATTATGGACACTTGTAATTGTCAAGCACGTTCAAATGCTCTCGGCGTGATCTGCAAGGTGTATACCGAGTGCTTGTAAGGCTTGTATTGTTTTGAGATCGACCAGTCTATTCGATGCAGGCTACTGTGCGAAGCGCACTAGTGAGGTAGGGACGAGAAAGATAGTGGGTTGAGAAGAAGCTTGTCTTGGGATGGGGAGGTGGCGATTTCTTAATCTCGCTGCTGCTCTGCGAGAGTGCCAACCAACCTTTTATCGTTGAAGGGATCTAATATCCCTTCTATGTTTGGACGGATACAGACGATCTTTATAGATCCGCGGTCGCTCAGGCATGTCTTTCAAGGTGATACCAAGGATGCCACAGAACGCACATTTGCCAATAATGCGGCGCAACAGAACAGCGGAGAAAAGATGGAAAGGTTCCATGTCTTGAAACTCCTTTCGTTGCTGCCAAAGGAAGTACCCACTTCGTTTGTCCCGTCATCTTGTGATTATCGTGGAAGCCCAATCCCACCGCTCCATCAGGAAGGCGTTTGTTCCTCATTTGATCGGACTGTGACACCTTCAGGATACCACCCGCGCAACCAGGGGCGGTCTGCAGAATTGTGCTGGTCAAATTGCAGTCTTCTGTCGTCTTCTCTGCGAGACGGAGTATTGAGTCGGTGAAGAAGCTCGCAGTCCTGACGAACGGACCACATCTGCAATGGCGACGGCAAATATAAACACTTCATAGCTACTTCGATGACTGTTGCTTGCATATGTGGTGAGCTACAAACACATACTAACATTGGTCCGCCGAATAAAGCCAGCCGACTCGGTTGTTAGCCATGCGATCCGATTGTTACACACAGACCGGGGCTATCTTCCAAGAACAACAATGGAAGTTCTCTTCTCGCCCCCTGACGGTCTAAGAGCTCTCAGAAAGGAGAAAAGAGGGCGATCTTAACTGTAGGTGGCCGTGCTATTAGACGTAGACGGAAACTCAATCGATCATGATCATGGCTTCCATGATCCCCGTCGCGAGGCAAACGCACAGGGAGATCGACCCAGAACATTCCTTTACTCCGCCACCAGGGACGCTTGATTCGCTCTCGAGCCCGTTTAGCTTCCCGTTGAGCGTTGCTTAACACCCCGTTCCGGACTTGGTCTGCAGGTAGCCGTTAGATGCGTTGTTGTGTCACATTCGATTCATGGTCGTATGGACAAGTGGTACTCTTTAGACACACTCTTCAATAGGGATCTTCAACGTGCCTTGGCAGTGACATTGTACAGTAGACACTCTTGTCGCTCTAATGAAACCAGACCAAGCACTGACTGAGTTTAATCAGGCACACTAGCAACTCCCAGCAAGTGGAAAAACGAGTCATGACGGTTTACTTACACCGCAAAATCTACCTCCTCAACTGTCAGACGCAATACATACCCTCCTGAAGTGCTACACCCGGCAACGGGCTCCCTGCGTATGCTGTGCAATCGAACCTCCAGGTTCAAGTTCCTGAAGAATATATGACATGGTCCACTGCGGTGGCGCTCTTGCCCTTGTAGGGTCG